GAGAAGGATGGAGCTGTCATTTCAGTGGCACTGCTGAACTGGGGCTTGCAGGGGGAGGAGAAGGCTCTGTGCTGAGAGAGATAAAGTCAAAATGAAGTACAGCCTGGCATCTAGATGAGACATTTTCTTTGTTTAGCCTGGAAAAAAGATCAGGCAGGAAAGGAAAAACTGAAAGTCTTGGGGTATTTTTTTGTTAAGTTGATGGAAGAGGTGACAAAAATATTTGTGTGATGTTAAAATCAGGGACCCTGGCAAGCTGGTCTTGACTGACAGCAGATTTTGAGATATCTCGAAATGATGAAATATGAGAACATTACTGCTGCACAATGGTGCTGTGTTACATTTTTCTCCCTACCTGCGGTATTTCAGGCCTGTGCCTGAGCTGTCTGTCCATCTCCCCGGCAGTGGGGGATCTCTCTGGAGCCTGGGGCTAACGGCGCATCGTACAGCGCTGGCAACATCAGGAAATGCTGTTTCAGCTCCTCAGACGCTTCCCAAGCAGTACAAGATGCCTTATCACCATCCGGTGTCACTTCTATCACTTGTGATTGTCTTATATCACTGTGAGCTGAGGCTTGTGCCAGCAGAGGCACGGGAGGGAGGCGGATGGGCTCAGCGCGGGTGCCCTGACAGCGCCAAAGGCCCGTGCTTACCCTCAGGGTTCAGGAGCAAACATTTGGACACTTCTCTGGATATTTTTATCCACCCATCAGGCTTGGCAGAGTTCACCCAGCGTGCACCTGGGCCGCAGATGCCCTCCCCAAGTTTCAGAGGGACGGAGCGGGGGCAGGACCCGCGGTCCATCGGCCAGGGCAGGAGCGGGGCAGGAGCAGGGCTGGCGGGAAGCACCTTCGCTCCCCTCCCGCCGCCGAGGCCTTCCAGGGCCAGGGAACCTCAGCACAGGAGGCGTGAGTCCTCCCCGACACAGCATGTCAGGGGCTGAGGGAGCGACGCCTTGAACATCATGGACACGGAGAACCTCCGGGACAAGCTGTGGGACGGGATCAGCCTAAGGGATGAGCCCCAGGGAAGCGGGAGGGGATGGAAGGCTGCACCCCCCACCCCGTGCAGCTGCATCACAAACTCCTTGGACAAACCTCAGAGGGACAGACATGGACTGAGGGAAACCCCGTTGACCGACGGGCCTCGGCCACTGAGGAGGTAACAAGAACCTGGGTGAGGTTTCTGGGGTGACTGATGACATCTCGGAACAGAGAATAAACCAAAGCTGAGCGAGGACCAGGGACTCACCCGGAAACCCGCTCCACCTTCTTCCTCGTCTCTCATGGAAATGAGTTTGTGGAACCCCGGCCCCTCCTCGTCTAGTGTGCAAATCAGCTGAAAACATGAACTGAAAAGGGGAGAGAAGCTTTGCTGGGTGTGCACCCACCCCCCAGGGGTACCGCACCTGAGACACGCTGGGTCCAGGGGTGCTGATCCCGATTTCTTCCACTCTTCCTCTCCTTCCTTTTTCTCTCATTCCTTTTCTTTTCTTTCTTACAGATTTATAAGAGACCACATTGCATATTATCCTTTTCCAAGTTTAAATTGTTTTCTACCACAAGTAAAACATTTTAACCGGTCAATTGGTGTCGTTTTACCTTAATTCAGCCGAGGGCATCACAGAACCCTTGTGACTCTGGGCATCCAGTCCGGGCAGTGACACAGCCCAGGCCACAGCGCGCAGCCTTGGACACTGTGAATGACCACGAGCCTGATTCTGATCATGAGCCTGCACCACCTTTGCACCGTGGAAATCCCCTCCTTTCTGCTAAGAAATCTATTTCTGACTGTTCCCTGGGCCTGGGACCTGGCGGGTGCCACCCAGCCTCGCTGCACACTGTCGATTATTCGGTTCAGATTACGAACTGCCAAACCTCATTTCTTTATCTGCTTTCCCTAAACCCAAATGGTACCACAATTTAAATTAATAATTGGGTTTAGGAACTCGAAGATATTTCCTGCAGATAACGTACTACCATCACTGTTTATTTTCAATATATTCTGCCTCATATCAGGTGCACTTGCGAAGCTGCTCCTCTTCAAGTCTGCTGAAGATATCTCTGTGGATCACAGAAAAACTCCACAATCCCTCAGAAACCACAATTACTAATTTTATGGTTTACCTGTGACTCACTTTCTCATACCTAATACTAAACATGAAAGGCTCGTAGCTGAAATTGATTTGTTATAAATTACAGAAAATGTGATTTTTAATTAGATGTGCAAAAGAACATTTGCAACAGCGACTGAAGTAAATAGTGTTTAAAAATAACTTTCCTATACAGAGCAATTCCTTTGAAGGAAATAGTTTGAGTGTAATAACGTGAACTTAGCATTTATATATTTGTTTCTTTATTTGTATCACTTCCTAAAGTTGAAAAGGGTGTAATTTGACTTTGGATCTCATAAAATACAGGCAGAGAGAAGTTATATGACTTGTTTTGTATCACACAAAGTTAATAGCAGCCTAGGGCTGAGCAGAGCTGCATTTTCCCCCCCTGCGAGACTCGTCCTTGCCCTACCATTAGGCTTTGGCTATTGAAACTGCAGCCCCACCTCAGTCGATGGAAAGCTGTTACCAAATTAATGAAGCCTGCCTCTGGTTCCTGATGAGAACACAAGCCCCACGTTTCAGATGCCACTTTGCAGAAGGTCACAGCAAAGGCTAAAAACAATAATTTGTAAAGAAAAAAAGCAGACAACACTGAGTGAATGTGAAAAGAAAGTATGTTATCATTAACAAGATGGGGGGAAAAAAGTCAATAGATATGAAAGTACCGTGGAGAGTGGGAACTCCTGTTATTCACTGTGAAAACATCTCTGCAGCCGTCTGCTCCCTGGTTTTCCCAGAACAGAGGTGGAAGGACCCGGAGGGTGCCCGGATGAAGGGAAGGGCGGAGGCACCCTGGGGTGGGCGAGCGGTGGCCATGCCGGAGTACAGCCCTGCGTCCTGGGGCACACGCAGCAGGGGAGACACCGGCTTTGGAGTAATACCTGTAAAAGAATAAAAACATCTCTCCACAGCTAAAACCATTAACAGTTGTTAATTAACCATTAAAATTACCAACCGTCTTAAAGGTCTGTAAGGTTAAGTGCAATCAATATTTATTTGATTACAGTGAGCAGGGTCAGGCGTCTCGGTGCACCAGCGTATTTGAGGAATTAGAAAGCAGAAATGGTAAATACTACTCGCTTTGAAACTGTTCTAAAACGCTGGCTGCGTGATGGGGAAGAGCACTGGAAAGGTGAAAGGAAGACGATTAAAATGATAACTTCAACCAAGTAAGGGGTTTAGAAAGAATGAGAGAAAAAGATACTAAAAAGAGAAAGGGAGAGAAAGCAAGCAAGAAAAGCAAAGAAAAGAAAAAAAAAAAGAAATAAAGGAGCTCAGAAAATAAGTTCAGCTCATTATTAGACCATGCTCCGCCTTGGTCTGGGCCCAGGCAGACGGAGATGTTGGGAAGTAAAGCTGTGTCTGCCTCCCTGGACAGCCCCCGGGGCCGGCCCTGAGCTGGCTGCGCTCCCCCACACGCCTGGCACTGCCACCCCGGGAGCTGGCACATCCCCCGTGTCACCGCCGAGCCATCCTTCACACTCGCTGCTTTATTAATTATTTTAGTGACAAATAATCCATTTCTGAGGCTAATGATGCAAAGCTCCCCAGAGAAGGGATCTTCACATTTCTTCCAAATCTGAACTTTGGTTGTACAGTTCCGTCAGACAAGTGTAATTAAAGTACTCGCATGCTTTCACCCTGGCTGTAAAGCCGTGGAGGTTTCAAATGTCAATTAAAACTCTGCCTGGAGCCTGGAGACCAGCCAAGCTGCCCCAAGGTAATTCAGAGGCTGGAAACGATGGTTAAGTAAAGGGCTTCTCGATTCCACGTGCTCCTGTGGAGCCCGGTGGTTCAGAGAGGGCTCTGGCAGCCCTCAAGTGTCTGCGTGGCGAGGTCCTGCCATCAACCCAGAGAATCCAGGGACTAAAGGTCCCCTCGCCCAGCCCCCGAGTCCTGCTGCCCTCCATCGAGAGCAGCTCGCGGTTGCTGCAGCTCCGAGGTAAGGTTCTGCATCCTCTGGAGCAGCAAAACGAGAGAAATAACACACTTTTACTGAAAGATCCCGAGTCAGGTGGTGCTGCTCCTGTGGCTACGCTGCTTACGGCACGGAAGGAGCTCGGCTGCTCCTGCTCCTGCCCTGCCCACCGCATGGGGACTCGGGGGTGAGGGCAGCCTGGGACTGAGCACGTCCAGGTCAGCATCAGCCCGCGTGAGACGTTTCTCCCGGTTTTCCCACCCGGTGCACAGGGGAGCAGGAGCTTAAGCAGTAACGCTCCTGCTGTGCCCCCAACCCACACCCCCAGCCGAAGGGCCAGAGCAGGTCCGTCGCCGGGCTGGCCCATCCCCACGATGCTTCGGCCACTGATCTGGCCCTCACCCAAAATACGCACCTTTGGCTCATGGATTTCCTGCCCAACACTACTCTTGTCGCCGGGTGGGATGTCAGCATGGCTCTCTAATCAGAGCAGGTTGCAAGACTGTGTATTTTTATCCGAAAATATTGCATTTGTACTTTCCTTAATTTTCCATGAAAATACATCGCAATTTTACCCACAGGACGAGGCACAGGTTTTTTCTCCTTTAGGAAGAGTTTAGCGTGGAGCCCTCTACACAACACATTGCATCACTAAAATGGAGATTGTCTCAGGTTATTTTAAGTCCTTAGACTTTGATCAGTAGCTTGGAAAAGAAAGATGACAAAAAAAGCACATAGTATAAGGAAAAATCTACCTAGACATAGTTTATGCATCATATACAGAGATACTTGTGAGTGTTCAGTATCTCCGAGAATAACAGAGAGTTGTCAACAGAGATGATATTTTCTTCTAAGTCAAAACAAACAAAAGAAGCCTTAGAGGACCTGATCCACCACTCGCTGAAGTCAAAAGAAAACTCTCACTGACTTCAGTGAAGCTGGATGCAGCTCAAAGTGTGCATATTTCTGTTTTCATGAGTCGTGTAAACTCCATCTGTTTCCCAGTCCCTGTGGGGAAATGCCATCTTTCTGTTTTCATTATTCAGTTTGCTCTCTCCGTTGTAGTTTGTACTCGACTCCACCAGTTTTACAAAACACAATATTTTATGGTGCAGTGCTCAGCTGTCTCACGGAGGCCTCGGTTCCTACGGCACGACTGACATCAAGCACTTTTCTCATTAAAAAGAAAACGTTATTACATCATAACCACCTCTTCCCTCTTTACTCTCTGCTCAGGGGTGACAGCACAATCCAGAGCTCCTGGATTTTTTTTTTCCCCGTGTGTGCTGCCTCCCCAGTTTATGCAGGGGATGAAACGTGCCCAAGGTGCTCGTCTCTTCCACGCTGCCCACAGGCCAGGGCACGTCCCGATGGAAGCGGGTCCATCCCGGTGCCTGTGCCCATACCCCTGCCCTCCCCACCCCTAACCCGCACTGGGGGAGGTCCTGGGCTGTCCAAAAGGGCAACAGAGAGGTTTTGCAACGGGACACTGCAACTACCTACCAGATACTTTGCCCACATTGACCAGTTTTCAGATGACCAAGGGCAAAGTCCCTTCAAAAACACAAGAGGCAGATTTCATTAGGAGTTTTCGCTCATCTTAAGACATCCGTAGCAAGCGAGGGTCATTGGTTAATCACCTCAAGCCTAATTACATTAGCTATGATGGAAGGTTACAAAGCTAACCAGAGCCACCTGAAAAGTGGTTTCTGTCTCTGTCGGTGGCTGCGAGCCGAAGTCCTAAAGGGACACTACAGGTGATCTGAGATGAAGCTGCACGTCCCCTACAGCCACGGCAAACATTCCACAGATGGTAGCAAAGAGACCAGATGATGGCTCCAGCATCGCTGACTTCAGAGCTTACAGTGTCTAATACTTTCTGTCATCATTCCTCCCCCTGAGTTTTGTATTGGGTGCACGCAAGCGGAGAGGCTGAGCTCAACCAAAAAGCTGGAGAAATGAGATAGAACATCGCAGACCCACCTGCATCATTTGTGGCAACAAAACTTCTCTGAAAGAGATGTTTTCTGTTATGTGGTCTTCCACAGTCCTGTGAAGACAGTGAGGTTTACTGAAGACTTCAGAGGTCCAGCTGCCTGGCAACAGTGATTAATTTAGTCAAATTAATGAAGACACTAGCCCAGATATTATTTATGCCCACAAGTAAGAGATGACAGCAATACCCAGCAGCACAGCGAAGGAGAATGACGTGTTTAGAGTGACAAAGCAGGATTTTGCCATGCCGGGGCACTGCTTTACCCTCAGGACGTGCCTTTGAGAGGGGAGCAGCACCTCTCTACCTGGCGCAGAGGGGTCAGCATCCCCGATGCTGCGGATACTTGGCACCACCAGCGCTGCCCAGCTCCCGGCAGCGGCACTCCAAGGCATCAGCTCTGGGAAACACACGGCTTTGAACATGACCTACCCTTGTCTGGAAGGCAAAACTAACTCAAGGAGTTGTGGCTACACAAAGTATATTAGCCCTCAGAAACCAATTAGGTTCTTCATTATCGACAGAACAGAGTAAGAAGAAAAAACTTCACAGTAATCGAATCAGTGAATACAGCCCTAGTTCACTAAGTCATTCGGGTATGAACAAGTGAAATCTTGCCTAGATTGTGGCTTCAGAAGGATTGCTCTTGTAATTTTGAAATACTTCTTTAAAGAAAATTAAATTAGAGACCTAACAGGATATCTATATACCATTCTCATTTTCAATGACAGTATGTAAAAATTATTTTGCTATCTAGGTAATTTTAAACAAAAATTTTCAAACACTGGTCTTTCAAAAGTCAAGAGAGGATAAAATAATAATGATAATAATGATAAAATAACAATGATAATAATAACAACAACAATAATAATAACTCATCCTTGCGGGTAAAGAAGATGAGAGCATCTGTAAGTACCCTCAGTTCTCTTGCAAAGTGGGTTCTTCATTGTTGTTAAGATGAGAGGCTGCAGCTCACGCCCCTTTTCAAACAGTCTCCATATACGGAACAAATAAATATTGCTGTCCACAATTTGAAGATATTCAAACTCCGATACGGAGAGAGGGAAATAAGTTATCCCAGATGTTAGTCCACCAGAAGCAGATTCATTTACATCCATGTTTATATCACGTTTACACCATTCTGTCCAACAATTTTTATACATTGTCATGTAAGAGAACGTTAGTGTTAGTCAGTCGCTGCTAAGAATGGCCACAGAACCTGGGAATTCACGAAACAAATCTACTACGTCATGAGGAGGGGTGTTGCAAGTTGCACAAAGCAGCATATTTTAGTTCTTTATTAATATCAGGTTACTGAAGGATGCTGAAATCATGTTTTTATAGCATAACTCTTGTTGTAAAGACACGCTGTGTTCTAATGAACAAAATATAAATATTTTTTTCTTCTCAGACTACCGAGAATTTTATCATAAGAGGAAGGGCTGAATTTTCAAGTGAATGAAATAAACGTACATTGGTGCAAAATCACACGGTAAATAAGACGTCAGCAGTCTCTCTCCGTTAGGTTTTTGAGACATGCTGTAGCTGGCGATCAAAGGCAAGTGCCTGCTCTCGAGGGTCACTAGAATCACCGGGGCCTCCAGGCAGCGCCTCACCCATCACCTCATCCCTGCATCCACGCCGGGGCCGACAAGGCTGGGCTTCCTCTGACAGCTCTGGGCAAGCAGCGACCAGGCACAGCAGCCACCAGTCAGCCCAGAGCAGACAGCCATGGCAAGCCTCCCAAGTCTGAAGAACAGCAAAAAATAAATAATATTGGTGGAACTGCACTTATGTGTGTGAAAACTCAACTAAAACCACAAAAAAAAAACCTTTGCAAGCAACTGTCTGCATCAGCTGGTGCTGGCAAAGACTGATGACAATGATAACTATGATGAATTGATGCTGTAATTATGAATATATGAAGTTTTATGAGGAGACAACAAATGTGTCACTATTTATACACAGCT